TCTCCCCTGCCGGTCTCAATCCAATCCATTGGCGTGCCGCGGGGATTAGGGTGTGCCCAGGCATACCCGACACACCCCGTGCGCACGCCTATGGAGGGATGGGGGAGACAGCCTACATGAAGAGTCAGCAAGGAGCAAGAAGGTAAAGTAAGAAAAGGAGAAGGAACAGAAATGAGCAGGAAGGGACATCAAGGAGCACAAAGGAACAGAAATGAACAGGAAGGGTCAGCAAAGGAGCACAAAGGTAAAGTAGAAGGAGCAGAAAGGGTCAGAAATGAGCTGGAAGGGGCAGAAGGAGCACAAAGGTAAAATAGGAGAATGAGCAGGAAGGGCCTGCAAGGAGCAGGAAGGAGCACAAAGGTAACGGAGCAGAAAGAATCAGAAGGAGCACAAAGGTAAAGTAGGAGAAAGAGCAGAAAGGAACAGCAAGGAGCACAAAGATAAAGTAGAAAAGGGAGCAGAAAGGGTCTGCAAGGAGCAGAAAGGGATCAGAATGAGAAAGGAGCAGAAGGGCGCTAAATAAGCAGAAAGTAGCAGAAAGGTAAAAGAGCAGAAGGGGCCAAGGATAGAAAACAGTGTCAGAAGAAAAAAAAAAGACTGTCAAATGAAGGAGAGGAAAAGGAGATTGGAGCAGGAAGGACAAATGAAGTGAACCCTCCACTTTATTCTGGACACCATATCATAAGGCTTTGGTACCTGGGCCAGGCAGGGAAACGCTGGACCTTCTCATCTCCAAAGGTAAAAAAATATCAGTATTAATGTGTTCACTTTTATTTACTGAGTGTCAGGAAGCACAGAGTGCCGTTGGGTAGGGGTGTTGCTGATTGGCTAGAGCGGTCAGCTGGCACTCTAAGCCAATCAGTAGCTCCCCATTCATAAAAAAGTAAAAATATTTTATGAACCGGGAACTAGCGATTGGCTTAGAGCGTCAACTGTCCACTCTAGCCAATCAGCGGCACCCATGCCTGACGTCAATCTGCACTTCCTGACACTCTGTTTCAGAAGCCAAATACCACTGAGTGACCTGGAGCTGGAGGAAGCCTTTGGGGTTAAACCATTTGAGAGCGATTTAACCCCTTAAAGGAAAGCGAGCACCCAGGGGCTTCCTGGCATCATAGCATTTTCATTTAGGTGAAGTTGTTATGGTGACCAGAATGGTCCTTTAATTTGCTTAAAGGAACACTATAGTGTCAGGAATACAAACATATATTCCTGACACCATAGTTGTGAAAACGCTCTTCACCCTGGCTTTATGTGATAATGGCTATGCCCCTTCTCTTTCATGACACTGTCAAAAAGGTACCAAGTATGGATGTCATTACAATTATGCCCCCTCCCCCCCCCCTGGAAAAATTCCTGCGGACGCCCATGAATTCAAACAAAATATTATTTACTTCAAACAAAATAAGTAAAATGGGGGAGGGGTATGGTAATTTTCAGTCCAAATATTGATTGAGGACAAGTCAATAGGAGCAGATGGAGTCTCAGAACCACAGAAAAGACATAGCCCATAAAATATTTCTTCACAAGTTATCACTTGAGTAATTATTTGTCAGAACACTGGGCCTATGATAATAGGACCAGGAAGAATAAACATGGACTCATTACTGCATAACCTTGGTAGCCAGCTAATACTTAAGTACTTCTGCATATGGGGGGCACAATTGTAACTCCAAGACTCCCCCCTTATGCTCATGTGTCTATATGTGAGGTGAAACTGCAGGGGTCTGGACTCTGCATATTATTTTGGTGTCAAGGTAGATGGGCAGAAATTGTGTTTGACTAATTTAAATGCCAAGGGGTTTCTATATAGTTTACATTTTTGTTCTGCTCTTCTTTTCCTTTCTCACTTTTACTGGCATGTTCTGCTTATTTTGTCGCCCCTTCTTTCCAGGCTTTCTTTTCCCCTCATATTTATTGGTTTCACCACATCCTTGATCTCTATTATTTTTTATTATTATAATTTTTGGTCATGTATATAGCGTTAACTTATTCGGCAGCTCTACAGAATATTTCTTCATTTTCTATGCTCTCCCTTTTTTCATGCTGTTTACAGGTTTTTCATGCCATCATGTACTGATCCTGCTGGCATCCTATATGCAGATGCCATTATAATGCACATGCCATGTCTGGGGGGATTACTTATTGATCCAGCTGTGTAACGATAATATGGTCACATAAAATCCTCCTTTTTCAAAATGTTAGTCTTCAGATGTCATATCAAGGTTTAGAAGACGATGATGTTTGATAATTCTATGGTTACAATTAGAAGTTAGCCCTAAAAGAAGGCCCATAGCTTCCCATCATGTCACCACCGCTACAAAAACATTCACTTTTTTAGAGATGTATTTCCCTACACCGACAATGATGAAAAACCTACAGAGTAGCAGTGGTTTTATTGCAGTAATGTATTATCCATTTTCCACAAGTGTACTCTCTTAAAGGAAGCATATGGCCACCTCATTTCAGACACAATTTACTTGATATATGGCTGAATGCATCACATACAGTATTCCTGGCTTCTTTGTGTGAAATACAGCATGTAGCTGCAGTTTTTGTATTGTGTGTGGGATTCATTCTGTGACTCATGTGGGAGCTGTAACATCTTTAAGCTCAGTAATTAATCTTTAACTCTTCTGTTTCCAATCTTAAATAGAGCTTGGTTCAAATCTCATGGGCAAAATAATATGGCCTCCATAGGCTGGTTTATGATAACTGTGGTCTAGTGTACAGTGCTCTGGGTATATTGTTGCTTGACAGCCCAGAACCAGGTCATAAATAAGAGGTAAGAATATGAATGTCATTGTGTGTGTTAATATATGTGTGTCAATGCAAATCTGTGAATGAGTGTCAGTGGGAATCTGTATAGCTGCCAGTGTGTTAATGTGTCTTGATGTGTGTTAATGTGTCTTGGTGTGTGTATCTATGTATGTTTGCTCGTGTATATGTGTGTGTATGAGCCTGTTGCTAACTAGGTTGAGGTACATGGCAAGTTCTGTATGTGTGGAAGTGACTAATATATATGTGCATATATAAATATATATATATATTATACATATATATATACACGTGTTTGTGTAGCTAATTAAACATATCTAATGTACTCACATGGAAACGGTAACCCTGGAAGAGAAGAAGAATAATGTGTAGTAAGTGACCCTGTAGAAAAACAAAATAATTAAATGTACACTCTACACCAGTGGTAGTAAACCCTTTTTTACCTACCACCCACTAATGCATCTTTCTTGATGGAAAAATGTCCTTACCGCCCACCAGTTTTCATGCCAGACGCAGAATATTTTTTAGAAAGCAGAATGTTTTTCAAAAAATAAATGTACGTACATTTATCTTTTTATTTTTACTTTATGCATGTTTATAATGTTTAAAACTTTATAAAGTGAAAACAAAGTAAATTGAAATTACCCTTACTAGTGATTAATGAGATCCTTGAGGTTGATTCTGCGAGACTAAATATTTGATATCTGGTTCGACTTTCGTAAGGAACAAACAAAGGGCGAGGTGATATTCAGACGACTTCTCTGTTTGCTCATAATATGATTTCTCATCTGTACATCAGCTCCCCTCCTCTCCCTCCTCAATTCCCCTCCCCACCTTTTTTCTGTTTTTTAACCTTCCTTATAGCAATGCCCAGTAGGAAGGCTGAGCTAGGTAGCCCACTTACTATTATTAGCCAACAACAATTCTCTCCTTTTCCTTCTTTCTCCTTTTTTACAAGTACTCTACTCCTTCTTTTTCCTTTTTACAAGTATACTGCTCCTTCTTTCTCCTATTCTACAAGTACTCTGCTCCTTCTTTCTCTTTTTTACAAGTACTCTGCTCCTTCTTTCTCCTTTTTACAAGTACTCTGCTCTTTCTTTCTCCTATTCTACAAATACTCTGCTCTTTCTTTGTTCTATTCTACAAGTACTCTGCTCACAGACAAACTCACACATACACTTACAGACACACACATACGCACAAACATACACACACTCACACATATACTTACAGACATACACACTCACACATACACTTACAGACACACACACACTCACAAACATGCACACATACACTTACAGACACACACACTCACAGACAAACACATTCACACATACACTTACAGACACACACACTCACAGAGAAACACACTCACACATAGACTTAAAAACACACACATTCACAGAGAAACACATACACATAGACAAACATACTGTCAGAGTATTTATATCGGCAGACATCTTGTGCTATGATAGAAATTAAAAGTGTATATTCTGAGTCACTCTGAACAGACCAGACTCCATTTTGTTATTTCCAAGTTAACAAAAGACACAAGATTTCTATCTGTAAAACTAACCATTTTCCCAGAGCTAAAGGAATGCATAGTATATACAAACCAAGTGATAAGGAGAACGGGGGTTGGACAGACTGTCTAAAATGTTAATGGAATAGATGCATATCTAAACACAGACATTTTGACAGAGAAGATTAAATAATAAAATTTTACTTTCTATATGTACAAGGTCCCATTGTAAGTTACGGGTCAAAACTCAGAATTTGCCAGACACATAGTCTGGACAAAACTAAGAGAAAACCCTTTGAAGTGAAAGGAAACATAAGTTATGGCCACGATAAAGATAACGCAAAATGACGTCAAAATAGCCACCAAGAAAAGTTAACTCTTTCCTGGATAGGTATGTTTAGTGGGACAAGACTGCCCGCTATAGATCAAATAACTAAATTGCTATCTGGAAGATAACCACACCCCCAGTGTTGCTATTGGTCTAGCAACTAGTGAATTTTCCCTTGAAAAAGTTAGGACAAAGGGAAGACAGGAGGGTTGAAAGAATGAAAAAAGAGGAGAGAGGAATTGGAAGTTTGGGGACTCCAACTCGGACATGCAGAGAAACCCAGGACAACATCTGAGACTAACACTCTACTCTTAAAACTCTAACACTTAGAATTTTACTGACTTTCTAACCAACACCACCTTTCACCATAACTCATTCACCTACAGACATCCAAATAAGTTCCTGAGACTATCTACCAATCGGATGAAATATCTACTCAACTGGTAATTATACTGGTTTCATTTAATTAATTTAAATTAATTAAAATTTACTAATAGCATGATATATGACTGGATAAAGCACGGTCAGATTTTCATATTTAGAAATCTTAGTTAGCTAAAGAATATATAGTTATAAACATTCCATTCTGCAGGTGGAATTAAGAATAATTATATATTGATGTGATATTATGTTAGCATACCGCTATTTTTATCCAGGTGTATTGATTTGCTCTAATTTAAGATAAGATATCTTTTAGACAAATTAAACTCTGCTTATATAACATGGTAGATTCTCTTATTGGATGGTTCCAGGAAATGACTAATGAACTGGTTTAAATGTTATTTTATTTAAAATTACATAAGAATAGATCTTAATTACCTAGGAGATCTAGCCAGCATTGAAAGGGTTATTCTAACTGTTAACCAGGGTTTTATGGCCCTTCGCTTTCTCTCTGTGTAAGGATACCTCATAAATCGTGTAAGCCTTGACAGAAAATGCTGTTTAGCCATGAAACGTGTATAGCCATTCCTTTGTATTGCATACCATTTTATACTGGATATTCTTTGATTATTGTCACGCATGTTACATATTATTATTATTAATTAATTTGTTATTATAAAATAAAATCTATTTTTATAACAAAATTGTGATTTATTTATATGAAATAATTTTCACTTAACACGATAACGATATTTGGGATCTGAGAATTGAATTAGTGGGCAATTCTCACTGTTTACTATTATTATCCCATAAATATCCCCACAATACACACACACATATACTTACAGACACACACACATACACGCTCACAAATACACTTATAGACACACAAATTATTACTATTAAATGTCCAACCAGCCTCCCTACCTGGAGAGCTGCTGTGGATCTGTCCCTGGGATCCAGTGGGGCTTCACTTCGGTGGCGGCAGAGTTCTAATCCGAGGCGGCGAGGGTGCTCTCTACTGATGCCAGGAGCCGGAATATGACATCATATTCCGGCTCCCGCGGCATCAGCAAACATTGCGCGAGGGAGCAGAGCAGAGAGGTTAGAGCTCCCTCGCTGCCTCGGATTAGAACTCTGCCGCGTCTGGGGATCCAGAAGGTGGCCTGGCAGGAGGGAGCACTTCTTGTGCCCCCAAGCCGCTCGCGCCCTCCCGCCCACTCTAAAAAAAAGAAATCCTCTCAAAAAGAGGATTTAGCCGCTGAAATCCCTACTGCCCACCTGGAATCCTGAAACGCCCACTAGTGGGCGGTAGGGACCAGGTTGACGACCCATGCTCTACACTGTAAGGGAAATACCATAAAACCGTCCAGCAGATGTGAAAATATGTAGCCAAGCTCAAGGCTATAGTTCCACTCACCAGTGGATGAGTAGAATTACTGAATAAGTTGACGGTAAATATACTACAATTGCTCTTTTAGTTTATTGACAGTCCAATTAGCTGCACTCACTCTTACAAGAGGTTTTAAATGTATGCTCCATTCCTTCTCTACAGATGTAGAATCCCACATCCCAACATCCCCAGATTGTGATATCACAAGGCATGCAGTCAGTGACATACACACAAACCATGGGGCTCCAGTGCGAAAATGATCCGTGGGCCTCCCCCTGCCCTATTCCCCCCCCGACAGACACACACATACACACAGACACATACATACAAACAGACAGGCACACATATATACATACAGACAGATACATACAGACCGACACACAGACACATACATACAAACAGACAGGCACACATACAGGCACACAGACATACATACAAACAGACAGGCACGCAGACAGACAGACAGGCACACATACAGACACATACACAGACGGACACACACAAGACACATACATACAAAGACACGTACATAAAAAAACAGACAGGCACACATAAACACAGGCAGTCACATACAGACAAACAGACACACATACATACTTGTCTTCACCACAGCTCTCCAAGGATGTCAGGGACAAGATTGTAGACCTACACAAATCTGGAATGGGCTACAAGACCATCACCAAGCAGCTTGGTAACAACAGTTGGTGCAATTATTCGTAAATGGAAGAAAATAAATATAACTGTCAGTCTCCCTTGGTCTGGTGCTCCATGCAAGATCTCACCTCATAGAGTTTCAGTGATCATGAGAATGATGAGGAATCAGCCCAGAACTACACAGGAGGATCTTGATAATGATCTCAAGGCAACTGGGACCATAGTCACCAAGAAAACAATTGGTAACACACTACGCCGTGAAGGACTGAAATCCTGCAGCGCCCGCAAAGTCCTCCTGCTCAAGAAAGCACATGTACAGACCCGTCTGAAGTTTGCCAATGAACATATGAATGATTCAGAGAAGAACTGGGTTAAAGTGTTGTGGTCAGATGAGACCAAAATCAAGCTCATTGGCATCAACTCAACGTTTGGAAGAGGAGAAATGCTGCCTATGACCCCAAAAACACCACTGTCAAACACGGAGGTGGAAACATTATGCTTTGGGGGTGTGTGTGTGTATATCTGTATGTCTGTGTATCTGTGTGTGTGCATCTATATTTCTGTGTGTCTGTATCTGTCAGAGCCGGCCCGTCTATAGGTCCCAGTGCGGCCCTGCCTCCAGGCAGCACTTTGACAGGGGCGGCATTATGCCACGAAAGACCAGTCTTCACCCATCTGCTCGTCCGCCGGAGAGGGCAGGGAGGCCGCTCAAAAAAAAAAATCATAGGAGTCTGGAGAGGGAGGCTGGCCAGGTCCTCAAGGTTATGACATGTTTCCCACTAAAGTTCCGGCACTCTGAGATTAGTGTGCATGCCAAAACTTATGTGGGAACTTTACTTACAGAAATTTGCTGCAGGGATGTTGCTGTGGGTTGGCCCTGGGGAGTGTCAGAATTCCCTTTTGTTTCTGGCTTTGTGTGCTGTAACGGCCATGACGTGCGCAT